CTGAAGACTGGAGTAATGATGCTGAAAATACAGCTGCGCATCACAGAAATAAATTACAGTTTAACACATATTCATATAGAAAACAGCTGTTTTAAATAGTAAAAATATTTTTAAATTTTGGATCAAATAAATGCAGGCTTGGTGAGCAGAAGAGACTTCTTTAAAAAACATTTAAAATCTTACTGTTCAAACACTTTTGACTGGTCGTGTATTTGTGTCTGTAGATTTCAATCTCAATTTTGTTTTATAGAATTGCCAGGCTATTCGTTATGTTCGTATATTGCTTATGACGAAAATTCATTAGCCTAGCCTGATTTAAAATTCTTCATAACAAATTTTAAGAAAAAGTTATAAGTTAAAGGCAGGGTATGTGATTTTTCAAAAACGCTTTAGAAAACTGATTCGGGCCGAATAGCAAAACAAACTTGTAGCCAATCAGCAATAAGGGGCGTGTCTACTCGTGATGTGGAGGAGAGCGCGTTCAGTGCATGGGACGGACATTAGCCGAGCCGAGCGACAGAAAGATAGAGATGGCGGATAAAAAAACAAAAGAGGAAAACGTCTGCGGAACGACAAGGCAAGAAGTAGGACCCGTGTAAAATATTGGATCAGCTTTCCAGTGCTGGAGAGAACTCAAGGAGCGGAGGCCTGCGATCGGACGCCGAGGTTGCTTTGTTTCTTCTCAATAGGTTTTTGTTCGTGTAATCAAGAAAAAAATATTTGACAAAATTTCAAAATGAATGCTGAATGATATTTGACAGTGAACGCACCTCCCTCCACTGCATAGCCGCAGACAATCGTTGGTGTCAGTCGCGAATATTAAGCATGTTTTAGGCTATAATGCATGGCGTGTGTTTCACCAGCTCCGTTCCCATGGACACCTTTTGTTTGATCTAATTCTGGATATTTCCAGCCTTGGATTAATCTGTATCTAAAGCCGTGTCTACACCAAGAGAACCCATTATAATCAGTTGATGCGGTGACCACACGGGAAGTGGCGCGAGGCGACAGATCTTCTACAGTAACTGATGCCTCCTTCTATCCCGAATCTTTCAAACATGCGTTGAAAGTGAAACCTTAAAAAACAGCGCGCATAAGAAAGTGATTGCAGGCTTTCGCGAGCTTCAGCAAATGCACGCGATCACAGATTGCACGCTTCCCAGCCGAAACAACCCCCCACGTGAAATTGAAATAATAACCTGTGATATAAGATTTTGGCCATATTGCCCATCTAAGTCATTCATCCCACACTATCAACAGGCGCGTGATGTAGGCTACACTTCTTGTACTTCGTTTGGACACCACAAGGTGTCACTGTGGCCTCAAAGCTTTCCCCTCGCCTACTCTGGCTCCATTGCTATTCCTGAGGAAAAACACGTCCTCCTCATTACCCTACGGACAAAGAAATGTATAAATAAATGTGAAAATAATTTTTTTTTTTTTTAAATAAATAAAATAAATAAATGTGGAAACAATTTTATAAAATACAAAGAAATATTTTTTTTTTACTTTTTTACTTTTCTTTGTATATTTATTTATATTTGCTTTTTTTACATTTCTTTGTATATTTATTTATTTATTTCTAATTATGGCAGGGATGACATTCCATATAAATAAACTTTTATATGTATATAAAAAGTTTATATACATTTATTTATTTAAAATTTATAAAAAGTATAAATAAACTTGAATTGAATATATTTGCGTCTGTAGATTTCAATCTTAATCCATATCTTTAAAGAGTTTTGTCTCTTACTAACAGCAACCTTTACAGTTTTATTCCTCTCTGTATTCTGAAGGTTTGTTGATATTTCATTCACACTGGTTTGTGCAACATTTTACTCCTGAAAACATCATGAAAATGTGTTTTCTGTTTATGATAAAAAGAGAAATCCCCTCTGAAAAAACCTGGAAATTCATGCAAGTTAGTGCATATTTAATGACCTTTAAGAAACGTGTAACCGGTGAAGTGTGGTGAGATCCGTTAGTTTAACTTTGACCTGGTTCAGGTTGTTCTGATCGATTATGAGCCGCTACTCGAGTGCATCATCTGCGGCTTTCACCACCAGATCAAGCCGCTGAATTATCCTTCGCATGTTTGAATGTTTATGGGGTATTTTCATGAAAGTTGAACACGTTTACCCCTCAGATTCAAATGACTACTGAAGAAACTCTGAAAATTCTTAATGAAAGTTTGAGAGAATTTGTTGAGAAAATGTTTGTAAATTCTAAACGTATAAAATCTAATGACAGGATTTCTCCAGTCGTTTAGTCTCTTAAGCTCCGCCCCTGAAGCTCACGCTCATCTCAGAGCCACGCCCACATTCCAACATCCAATCAACAATTCATAATATCAAATATTATTAATATTGCAGCCTGCTCTGCAAACTGTGCTGAAGATACACGTCAGCAAAGTCAGGAACACAAACCTGCTTTATGATCTGAAATAATATCACTCATTAGAACATGCAGAAACTGAGAAATACATTCTTCTATATTGAAAAATGACTGTAAAAGTGTAAAGATTTCAAAACCGTGATGTGTTTGTCATGTTCTGACCATAAAGAGTCGTTTAAAATCACAATTAACGGTCTGGTTTCTACAACTTTCACCTAGGAGCAAAA